ATTGATGGTATTGAAAGTAGATGAACCCATCCAGACTGAACACTTTCTAAATGATCTATGTAATGGTTGTGCCTGATCATTCTGCTATCCTTTTATTTTATTTTATTTTATTTTATTTTATTTTATTTTATTTTATTTTATTTTATCAGTTATTGCAGTTTTCATGTATAGGTATTTATTTTATTTTGATTTTAGATTCTTTTTTTTAATGCTTCTATCCAATTGTAAGCTATGCAGAATCACTTGGACATGTTGGGAAGTCATATAAATCAAATCAATCAGTCCAGTCAGTCAATCAAATTCTAAAGTCATCCCTAAGTGTCGGCTTGGTATCTGGGTAAATACAGAACTTCCTGCTGTAATCTGATTTGGCCTGACCTATTAGATGATTAAGGGAACTTACTCCTTGTGCCGCACGCCATCAGGAAATAAAGGGAGCTGAAGCTAGGAGTCAGTGTTTTTTTGTGGCAAGACCAGTCCTCTGAAACAGCCTCCCTGTAGAGATCCAGCTGGTACCATCCCTGAATGCATTCAGGAAGATGTTGAAGCTGAAGCTATTCCAGAGAGCATTTTAACCTGTTGAGGGCCATCTTTTGTTTTACTTTTCGTTCTTCTTTTACTGTTGTGAAATCTTGTTTTATGTTTTTAAGCTTACTATGGATGTTTTAAATTTGGCTTTTACTAATTATGCCACAGAGAGTCAAACAGACTACTGTGGAGTATAAATGAAGTAAATAAATAAGCAGGCAGCTAGGCAAGAAAGAAGAATGCCCTGCTCAAATAAAAAAGTTTTCTGCTTATATGTGGATTTCCCCCCAGTGTTTCATGTACTGTAGATGATGTGAAAAACACAACATGAGGTCACTATATAATTTCCAACCTTCCCTGTAATAATACAGAGTTTCTGTACAAATAACAATACAATTACATTACCAAAAGAAAAGGAGAAGGCAGTGCCCCATCATTAAAAATAAAGATAAAGGATTTCTTAAACTCAAGTTTGAATCCCAGACATTTCTATATAGTTTTTGTGACAAATATACAGGTGGATAATTTCCCAAAATTTTAGGTGAACTACCCATTCCTTATTAGGTTCGGTATTAGTTACTAAGAATTAACCAATGATTAGGTATTATCTCTGAATATATTTTATGTTCACCGTAAGCAAAGCATAGTTCTTTCTGAGAGAGTTTCTACAACCAAACTACAGCTTTTGAAACAGTCTTTTAAGTTTTAACAAACTTTTAAGACTATTTACTCTTGAAACAATCTTTTTAGAAACTCAAATGCTACAACAAAACTCTACCTCAAGCAAATTGGCAGAAAAGCAATAAAAACTATGCTGATTCCATGCATTGGTATGTCTGAATTTATATATGGGTGCATCACAGCAGGGTTTTCAATTTTCTGCATGCATGGAATTCTATCTGCCTTTGCTACATGCTGAGTTAAATACTATTACACCTACCAGTTCTCTTAAACAAAAATATGTTTCTAGGTATCTCTCATGCTTATTTTATCATGAGCAAACTAACTTAAAGTGGACAACCTAATTTCTATAAAAATACATTTTAATAACAATTTTAGTTGCTGTGGTGCTCATCAGAGACTAGTGAAAACACTTGCCAATCTAGGACAAGTCACTCACAAGTAAACAGTAGATCTCAATATTCACTCCACCTATTCTTGTTCTATAGCATTTAATTTATGCAGAACAGAGTCCCAGTTCATGGGGCTTACCCATATCCTAGCTGAATTCATGGTATGGTAGAATAAATTGAATCTGCTCTAGTATGCATCTCAGTAGCCTCTCACTGAGACATGGTGTTCTATGATCAATTATCAAGAATCCTAACTGATCTAGAAACCAGTTTCAGTACTAACATCTTCTGCTTTAAATCTGCTGCCAGTTTTAAGGAGGATAGTGCCACTAACACTACTCTATTAGTTCCAGTTTAGTGTCCACATGGGGCAAGCTATGATCCCATGACATCTTTGTTTTGTTTTGTTTTTTTCTGGTCTTGCCATTAGTTGGAAAGCTTTGTTGCCTTTCCTACAGAAGGGGAATTGTTCGCAGCTCCTACTAAATCAAGCTGTCCATTTCTGGAACCTGTGAAGCTATTAATAATGTAAACATTGTAGATTATGCTGCTCCAAGAATCGCCAAGAGCCAGCTGCAGCTTGTCTTGCAGAAAGATTTCCCAGCAGTGAAGATGAACCTGAAAGATCTGCTTCATCCTAGCTGTCAGGTTTCCTTCTTTCTTAGGGACAACATACCATATAAGTAAAGGCATACAGTCTCATGATCTGGGGCCATCAAGGTCACAAGTTTATTGAACCAAAATAGAAACAATGACGTTTAAAAAAAATGTGAATTGGGTTGAAAAGATGAAAGTTTATTTCTGAAAATATCCCCTTTTTTAAGTCATACAATGGTATAAGGATAGCAATTTGGAGCAGAATGGAAGAGAAATTCTATTACATACACAATTATATATATATCTTTGAATCACTGTTATATACCCTTCTGGTTATGGATATAATTTTTAATTAATTTTTTTAAAAAGTGAAATACCATGAACTGAAGAGATCTCTATAAGTTCTATTTGTCTTGCTGCCACCATTAAACTCTTTTTTCTCATTTGCTTGTCTCTGAGATATCATAACTAGATGAAATGTCAGGAAGATATAGGGGAAAATAGTCACTTGGTTAACATTTAAATAAAGAACTTGACTTAAATCAATTCACCTTGATGTATGAATGAGCTATTTGATTCTACAGTGTATCTGTATTCAGACAGTACCTCTTATTTGGCACTACGTGTATACTGTATGTATTCCTAATCCTGTCTCCCTGACAGATGGAGGTTTTGCCTTGGCTAAGACTCTCTAAGACCTGTTCTGATACTTATTCCTCCCAAATATCTCTTCTTTCAGTTCCTTTTGTAGTATAAACTAGGAGGAGATGCCCTATGGTTGTCATGCTTTAGGAAGTTCCATCACTCAGTCATTATAGTTGTGTCCTTTATACTGTATGTTATGTTTGAAATATGCCTTTCAATATGTACATCATGTTCTGAATCAAGAAAATGATATTTTCTAAACAAATGAGTAATTGTATTGCTCTGGAAATATACAATAAATTTTATACTTACTTTAAATGAACACAGATTGGGTGCCCAGTCAGATGATTTCATGGGTCTGTTTATAAACTAAGATATTACATTCCTTAGACAGGTCAAGCTTACGTGTTTTATTTTAGGCTAAGAATCTCCAGTTACATGTTTTACTGTATTTCCAAATTTTACATAACATAATTAAAATGCAATTTTGTAACTTAAATTAAAAAGGAATCTCAAAAATTATTCTAGAAGAATAAATTGATGTTGGTAAATGACAAGTAAGTACAATTTATTTAATTTCTTGTTAAACTGAAGGCTTATAGAATATACAGTAGTCCTTGTTTAATGACCACAATTGGGACTGGCAACTTGGTCATTAAGTGAACAGTCACTAAGTAAAACCACAACTGCTTATGATTTTACTTCAGCTTTCCTTTGCTTTACAGATCTGCAAAGGTTGTAAGTGCAAGGATTGGTCATAAAGTTGATTGTCATAACTGTGAATGGTCACTAAATGAGGCAGTTGTTAAATGAGGACGACCTTTATTCTGTTTTTTCATATTAATGTATTAACTGCCACTACTTGCTATAAATTATACAAGAGAAAATAAATCTAAATGGTGCATTCTGGGTACTATATATAGAGGGTAATCATATTTGAGGGTCCTGATTGGTAATCATTATTTTGTATTAATAATAGTTTATATTAAAAACGTGATATCTGACATAGCAAACATGGATAACATTACTGAATTATTTAAAATGAGGCTTCTGTTAAATACACAATTCTCATTATTTGTCATCATATCAATTTGAAATACAAATAAAAATCAGAGAAAAGAGAACTTGATGCTAAATTAGTTGGATACAATATCTAGAATGGATTGTTAGTATTTTTATTGTAACCGCTAAATATTTTAAGCAGATTAGTTCTTTCCTTGCTATATAGCAATTCATATTAATTTGGGTATAATACTTGCAGTATTAGAAATATTGGTAAATAACCCAGCAAAGTTTAATTTGAAGGTTCATTTGCAAATAAAACCTATGTAATCAGAGTTGATCAATGAACATGGTGGCAAAATTCCAGAGAAATTTGTTTGCTGGATCATGTCTTATAGCAGAAACAAAACAAGACAAAACAAAAACCAGCCCTAGATAATAGATTTCTAAAGGTACTGAAAGCACCAGTCCAAGTATGCTGAAAGCTCCTCAAAATTTTGATATCGTCTTAAATCTAAGGAATTCACTTTTTATTCAATCTACCTTTATAAGATGACATGAAATACCAATAATATATATTTGGCATTTTAGTTTTCAAGTGGCATAAATCTAATAGAGATCAGTGAGACTTTTTGGATGAATGCATTTAGAACTGTTTTTAGACTGCCATTTCAAGTACATTGCAGAATATATGTATTTGTTAATTCTGTTTTTAAGGATATTTTTCGTAGTATGTAACGTGAATCTAATAGTACTTTAAAATAAATTATTATGAAATCAATGTCACTTTTTAAGGAAAATTTATATATGTATATGTGTGTGTGTGTGTGTGTGTGTGT